TGGGAATAAGCAAAGCGAGCTACTGGGATACTGGTGGGACTGGGCAGAGATGCGGGCTGGGGTGCTGAGGAGGACACTGGGTAGGAGCTGGGGTTCGTGGGGGATGCTCCTGCAACTGGAGCGTCCTGGGGGGTGCTGTGGGTGGTGGAGGGGCTGTGAATCCTGCTGCAGGCGTGGGAGGCTGGCAGCAAAGCTGGGACCCCCTCGTCTGAGGGGTGATAGGAAGCACAGGGTGTGTGAGAATGGGGTGGGGAGCACCAAAGGGGCATTTGCTCCCCACGATGGAGCTGAATTATCTGCCCCTGCCCCAGAGGTGCAGGTTTCTAAAGCTGAGGCGCTGCTTTCCCTTTGTCCCTTGGGCTCCATTGCTCTGTGCAGTTTTCTGAAGCTCCAGTGGCCCTGAGATACACTTGAGCTGTTGTGTGGTGACTCGAGGGGCTTTGCAGGTGAAATGGGTGCAGGTAAGGGGTGGTGGCACCCTCTGGAGTGTAAGTTAGGTTAAGCTGGGGATCACTTTAGAGATTTAGGGGTTCAGCACTGGATTGTTTCAATGCCAGGGAGCTTGGGTCAATACTGAGGCCTTAAACCTGCCACCTTCCTGCTTGCACCAGCGTGAAAGCAGTGGTGGGGAGCTGGTCAGGCTGCCATTGCCATGTGTGGCACAAAGCAGGCAGCGCCCAGACACAGGATCCTGTTTTCTGTGTGGTTTTGGGCCAAGGACGCTTATCCTTCTGGTTGTGGTGGCTCTTTAGTCTTTTCATTTCATCATGTTTTTGGTTCAGTCTACATTTAAATGTCAAGCCAATGCTTACAGCACTCAGCATTGCCAGAGCTTCTGGAGAGGCTCCTCTATTTAATCTCTTTGTGTTTGCTGGGGTTCAACCAGGAGCTTTTTTGTTCTCAGCTCAAACACCTCTTACCTCTTTGCACCTTAGCAGGCTCTGGGTGCAGAACAGTAGTGAGGAAGGGGCAGTCTGTTGTAGATTTTCCCTAAAAGGCCAATTATGTTTGTGGCGTTGTTGTAGTTTATCTCTGCTCTCTTCGGTTTTATATTTGTGTACAGGAAGCTGGCATTTTCTCAAGTCATTAAAAACATTGTTGTTTGTACATCTGGGCTTTTTTGTTTGGGGCCTTTATCTGGGCCTTGCTGTAAACCATGCTGAGTTTGCTGAGATAATGCTCGGTGCTGCTGGCAAGCTGGCTCTGAACAACGTGCACAACAAGCTCTGACACACACCCAGCAAAGATCTGTGCGCTCATGAGAAAAAGAGCTTCCTCCTGTGTTGCACGTGGAAAACGGTGGTTTGCTTTCTGACCTAGGTCAGACCTCGCTTACGTCCGTCAGAACGGGCTGTAAAGACGCGTGCTGTGCTTCGCCTCACCCGAGTGCGAGCGTTTCTGGGATTCTTCATGTTTCCAAGTGTGTGGTCTGAAGTTAGAGTGAAATGTCCTGCTTTGGGGTTTAAAGAATTCAGCAAGGCTTCTCTGTCTGCGTAGCTTTATGCAGCTGGGATGGTGTCTACGGTGTGGGTTTTCTCCTGAGTTTTTTTACTATGATCTGCAGCTCTGGCCACCATTAAAGCAACCTTGGACTATCTCAGCTGGGAGGGGTGACCCACGTTGACAAAGCCACATCTGATGAGAACAAAGAGCAGCAAGGCCGTGTTCGATGCCTTTTGCATGGCACTGCACCAAGTGCTCTCGTAGAGGGAAAACATTTAAGTCACCTTTTAAGCTGGGCAGGAATCCGAAGGACTGCTTGAGCAATAACACTGCAGCTGAACATGGGCTGTGTTTTTAATTCTGGAACAAGACCCACAACAACTTCTTCTGGGATGCTGTGCTTTGTTTTTGTCTTCTGGAAAGATTACAGTGTTTTGGCTCATGTGGCTTTACCGACCCAGCCTCTGATTTGGGAGGAGGGCAAACCTCTCCTGCAGGGGAAACACACTTCCAGAGCTGTCCCCAAGTGTAGTTTGCCCTCCAGCTTGGCAGAAAGGGAGAGAAATAACACCAAAGGCTGTCATACTGCCTAGCTGGGCTGAGGTAACCGAGCAGGAGCTCTGGGGAAATGGGCTAAGCAACAGGTTGTTTCTAATGTGGTTACTTGTTGGACAAGATTATAACTGCTCTGCATTGCTGTAGAGTTCATCGAAGGGGGTAGAAGTTGTGGTGTTGCCCCTCAGCTCCTGCTGCTGGGAGTTTAACTGTTGAGGTATTAAATTGAGCAAGGTGGGTAGGGGGAAAAGGAATGGTAGTGGTGTTGGGGTCGGTTAAGGGATGGGGAAGGAAGGTGTTAAGAAAGAGCAGGGTGGTTGCACTGCTGGGCGGTGGAGTTCAAGGCTCTGCTGGTCCTTCTGTTGCTGAGCCAGCGAGGTTCAGAGGCGGCACTTAGGGAACAGATGACTTGCTTTGCTGGTAGCATTTAAGGTCATGGAGGTATGTTCAAGAGAATTGGGCAAAAAAAGTAGAAGAAGAAGAAGGAGGGAGGTAGGAAAAGACTTTTTTGGGATGGTTTTAGGGTCATTGGTTCTTAGCGCTGCTGCAGACGGTTTCTTCAAAACCAGCCAAGCTGCCCACTCCCCTGCTTGTTTTTCAGCCAGTACTTGGAAAGCGTTTGAGTCATGTTTGTCACAGAGCTGGCAATTGTGAGACTAAAATGATGGCAATCCACATACGTCCGGGCAATCTCTGTATCCTGAGGTATTAACAATCCGGTTCTGCAGGGCAGGAATGGTGCTGGTGAGACCGTTCTCCGGGCTCTGCTAAGCACTTGCTGGCCCAGCAGTGTTTTTCGGTCCCGTCCATAAGAATGCAGTGAAATAATGAGGTGGTGTGTGTGTGTCAGGGGTGGGATGTCAGATCTGGGCAGAGAAAAATTTCGATTTCAGGCTTGAGAGAACTGAAAAGTAATGGCTTTTCTTGTCAAAAACAGTGCTTTGCATCTCCCAGGAACAAAAGAAGGGGCAGAAATGAAGGGCCTCGGGGTGGGTGTTGCACACAGGGTTAATTGTTCCCTCCATGACGTTGCAGCACAGGGAAGTATCGTTAGGGGGAGTTGACAGATTCCTTTGTCTGAAACATTGACTTCTGCTTCCAGTCGAGATATTGAACGTGCAGTGGTGTTTTTGGAACGTGAAATTATGTACCCAGGGGAAAGACAGCTGTAGAACATGTCAAGATGTGCTGATTATAAGGAGTTAAAACCCGCCTTTTCCCTTCCAAGACTGGGAGTTGAGAAAGCTGGGCTGAGCACCGCTGCTTTCCCAGCCTGCCCGCCTCAGGCTGTTGTGTTTTCACTGACATTGTTCATCTGGGCCCTTCAGATCCCTGGGTTTGCCAAGTGATAGCAGCAGCAGGTGCAGTGGGGATGGTGAAACTTGTGCCTGTGGATATAAAGCATTTGCTTCTTCCCTTATGTGGTGCACTCATCAACCACCCTTTCCCGGAGTTCCTGCCTCTCAGACTGGGTGATGTCAGCTCCGAATGCTGCTTGACTGCTTGTTCTTTTATTATTATTATTATTATTATTATCTTCAGGTGGTTTAAGGAACTGGAACCATGACGGACTCCAAATACTTCACGACCAATAAAAAAGGTTGGTGTTACGCTGGATTGGAGGTGGTGGGTGGCTATTTTTACACAGCTTTTTTAACTGCATACAGAAGAACTTGTGCTTTTCTGTAAGCTCTGTCCCTGTTTCTCATCTTAATCATCCAGGGAGAAACTTCCAAAGTAGGTCGCATGGTGACAAAAGACAGAACTGGTGTATTATGCGGTTCTGTGATGCACAAAATGACCCAAATCGCTGCTTTTTCCAAGGATCGGAGAACAAAATACAGGGACTTGAGTGCAGATCTGGTCGGAGACAAAGCTTTAGTCATGGGCTAACAGGTTGAGGACTGAGGATGGCTGTTCCACTGGGCATCACAGGATTCAGCTGATTGAGAAACATTTATGGGTTTATTGACCTGTGTTACCTGCTGCTTTTGTGACTAGCAGCTCTTTCTAACTCAGAAGGGATTTGTTCCACTGGACTAAATTTGTGCTTTCCTGTTTCTGCCACTGTGTATCACAGCATTTGGGCTACCTTTGTTTTCTCGTTGCGTTTGCAGGAAGCGGGCGATGATGAGCAGAAGTTAAAAAGTCAGGGCAAAATTCCGAGCTAAGTTAGGGGTTTGTTGTTTTTTATTTTATTTTATTTTTTCCCTTGCAGGCACCAATCTGGTGTCCCCAAATATCTTTTCGGCCTGCTTATATAATAGCTGCCTCTGAGAAACAGACGCTCCAGTGATGTGGTTCAATGTTCTAGAAGTGGGAGAGCTGCAACATGCAGCGTGCTACTTGCAAACTGCTTCTTCCTTAGCAAGTTACAGCCCGTGTCGTTCTCCGAGGGGCGCAGCGTTGCTCCTCAGTAAACCGTGTTCTCCATGAGGGCTGGCAGCTTCCACGTGTTGCTGTACCGGCTTTATGGGAACAGCAGGCTGGGAAAGTAAAAAGTCACGTCTGAGCTGCCCCTAAAGCCTGAGCTTTTTTTCCTCTCCCAAGAGGCTCAATCTGTTTTGTCTTCTGCCAGGAGAGATTTTTGAGCTGAAGGCTGAACTCAATAATGAAAAGAAAGAGAAGAGGAAAGAAGCTGTAAAGAAGGTTATTGCAGCCATGACCGTGGGGAAGGATGTCAGGTAAAACCACTTTTCTTTCACCTGTAGCAGCTCTGGTTCTCCTGGGACTCAGGCAGGTGAAGTGGCACCCATCTCCATGGAGCAGCTCTGAGTTTGTCATCTCGGCTGGGTAGCAAGGCTGGCTGTGTCCTTGCCTGTGCTGTACCCAAGTCACAGGTTTCTCACTGCTTTTCTTACTGTTGCCTATGCAGCTCACTCTTCCCTGACGTTGTGAACTGCATGCAGACCGACAACCTGGAGCTGAAGAAGCTGGTGTACCTGTACCTGATGAACTACGCCAAAAGTCAGCCGGATATGGCCATTATGGCTGTCAACAGCTTTGTGAAGGTAACGTGCTCCTGCGGCTCACCAGAGGATGGTTCAGTGCAGTGCCTGTCACCACGTCTCCTTTGTCTTTAGCTCTTCTGGGCTGCTGTTTATCTCTGCTTTTGTACTTGAGCCTCTGGGCTGGGCGTGCTGGTAGAGCAGCAAATAAAGAGTTGGCATGCTGAATCCAACAGGTCTGGGTCCTCTCTCTCGCTTGCTGCTGCTGCTTACTGCAGAGGAGATGACTCGTGCACTGCTCTAAATGGTTAGAGAGCCCGCTGCAGGAAAAGCTGCTTCTGTTGTTTTATTAATCATCATTAAAGACCAACTTCTTGTATTGGGTAACAATTTATATTTTTAATCTCCCAGCCTGTGTAGTTTCTCTGTCATACGGATATCTATGATTTGTTGGAATGTTTCAGCTGTGCTCTGTGTGGAAAACCTTTATCTCTGGTGAAGCTAGAAGGCAGTTCACTGGAGAAACAACAGGCTGATTGCTGTATTGCCTTTAGTTCTGTTGTCAAGTTGCCTCTCTGTCTAGGATATGTTATTTGGTGCTTAGAGAAAGTTTGAGATTCCTCCTAGAGTACTATAAAATCTGAGACATGGAGGGATCTGGTCATGTTTTAAGTTTCCAGTGTGGAAGTTTCTAGTCAGCCTCTAGTTTTCTGAGACTGAGAGAGCTTGGAGGACCTAGGCTGAGAGCAAGTCTGCTCTTCTGGCCAGAGGTGTCTCCACCTCCCTCTCTGGAAAGAATATTGTTGTCTATCATGTCTTTAAAGTGCCATTCTGTTAGAATGGCCTAGCAAGCAGATATGATATTTTCCAGCTTCATGCTTTTCCATGCATGGAAATGTCTGATGTCCCTTTTGGCAAGCTGAGGGACAAGTGTTAGTAAAGAGAAAGCGTTGACACCAGCCTGCACTAGCTCAGCATTTCACAGGCAGATCAGAGTTCAAGGTGGTGAATGCCCTAGGAAGAGCTGTCACTTCTCTTGTGTCCTTTAAAAGTGATGCACTCAGGTGTGTTCTCAGCTGTAGGAAACTCAAAGAGTGAAAGGTAAATGTACCTCACGGGTTTGCAGGTCATTCTGCAGCCATCCTTTTAGGGGCTGATTTTGGAGGAGCGTTGCGCAGGGATGCAGATGGATTTGATCTATGGAGAATTATGTGGGCTTGAAGTATGAAGCGTTATATTCCCTTCTTTGTTTTTCCCACTTCTGGACTAACCTTTGCTTGGTGCTTCGTGTGTTGCAAACTTAAGGGATCACAGAATCACAGAACATTAGGGATTGGAAGGGACCTCAAAAGATCATCCAGTCCAATCCCCCGATGCTTGTGTCTAGAACTGTGAGAAATAGGCCTTGATGACTCTTGCATTGTGTTTGGTTGTTGACTTTTCTCGTGGTATTCTCTTGCTCCTTCAAACCTGTAGGGCTGGAAACCGGTGTTTTATCCTCTCTGGAAGTTGCCTGTGGGTTTTGGGTGGTGAGAGCTGCCTCAGTAGCTTAGCTGTACTTTTGATTTGGCTGCTAGATCATGTTGAAGGAAGCTTTGCCTGGAGGGAGCCAAGGGACGCTGAGCTCACACTTTTACAGGCTATCATAGCCTGAAAACATCTTGAGACAGTGTAGCATGTTCCTGTGAACCAGCAAGTTCCACCTTTCAGCCCTGATCTGAAATAATTGCCTTTTTTTAGCGTGTAATCAGAATGCTTCTTGTTTGAAGTAAGAACAGCCTGATTGTGGCTGCAGAGAAGATGGCAGTGGCCAGTGGTGCAGATTTGTTTACCGCATATTCTGTCCCCTTGCAGGACTGTGAAGACCCAAACCCTCTCATCCGTGCTCTGGCCGTCCGTACCATGGGATGCATCAGGGTGGACAAGATCACAGAGTATTTGTGCGAGCCTCTTCGCAAGTGTCTGAAGGATGAAGACCCTTACGTACGAAAGACCGCGGCCGTCTGTGTGGCGAAGCTGCACGACATCAATGCCCAGATGGTGGAGGACCAAGGCTTTCTGGATTCTCTGCGCGACCTGATTGCAGACTCCAATCCCATGGTAATGTCGATGTCCTTCCAGCGCGTTGCTTGAGCTTGTAATGGGCAGATAATCAGAAACATGAAGGCTTTTTAGTTGCAGCTGTTGCACTGTGGTGAATGCATTGGTTAGAGAACACTCACCTCAGAAAATAGGAGATGCCATCTGTTCTTAGATCTGTTTGGGGTTTTGCCTTCAGTGCGGCAGGGAAAGTTTAACTTCCTGGATGGATGAGTCAGAAGAGCAGGAAATAGTTGATGCTGTACCTTGGGGACAGCTTGGAGCTGTTGCTTTCCTGCAGGCTTTGGCTCCTCTTGGAGGAAGAGGTTGGATGAATTCATTCACTAATGGAGATAAATCCACTGGCCTGTAATGAGTGGAGAAAATCAATGCTTATGTTTTTAATAAAGTTAAATGAGTCACGAGAGCAGAGGTGGAGATGAAGACAAACGGATTCACAGGGGTAAATTACCTACTAAATCAGTATTTCATCACGGCATTTCCCCGCCAGGCGTCTTCCACTGTTCTTGTGTAACTAAAAGCTGGTGGACAATGGATTGAAGTGCCCCACTGCATAATCCCTTCGTTTAGTACTTTTTCCTGTGATCTACTGGAATCCAGTGATTCTGGTACTGATACTGTTGTAACTCCTGGCAGGGAAGAAGACTTCTGCTGCTTGGCTTAACTTGGAGTTTAAGGATGTGGCTGCTACTTTTTTAGCTCTTTTACAGCACAGCTCTCATTTGACTCTGCTTGAAGGCCTGATTTCACATTATTCAGACAGGTCTAACAGCTCTTTCTGAGGTGCAGGAATCAAACCACCTACAGGAAATTTCTGTCCTGTTACAGCTGTCGTTGGGCAGCTGTGGAGAAGTCAAGTGCAAGCGGTAAGGTGGCAGCCCCTTTAGTAGGAGAGTGAAGGCTGCTGATTGCTTTTCTTTCTGCTTTCTAGGCAGCAAAACCAGAGGTGTCTGACCTTCACAGGCACAAGTCTACGAGCAGTGGTGCCTATGAGGAGACATAGGTGCTTATTACCTCTCATATCCATATCTCTTTTACAAGCTGTGCTTTCTGTATGCCTCCCTGATTTTTGTTTTATACCGGGTTTCTGCATGAATGTTGATGACTGCTTGAAAACGCTCTCTCTGTCTAGGCAATTTTGAGGCATATAGGGGAACACCTGCTTTTTTAATTTAATGCTGAGGCTGTGCCTTGCAGCCTCTGAAAGTACTTGATGTGGCTGCTTTAGTTCCACTTAAATACTGGCCCCTGGCATTCACTAGCTCCCAGGCAGCAATGGAGTGTGCTGTGGAAAAGGCTATAACCCACTCTTCTCCTAGCCTTGGTCCAACTCTTTAATTTTCTTCTGCTGATTACAGCCACATGGATATGAGTTGAGGAGCTCAGGTTGAAAAGGTGTGGTACTTCAGGAGAAATTAATACGGTTTTGCTTGCCCTTTTTCTGACTGATCTCTATGGAATTAACTGTTTTGGTAAATGAACCATGGGCTGTCATGAGAGCACTGATAACTCTTTCAAAAGCACGTTAATTTAATGCTGACTTAAATGAATGGAGAGAAGAGAAGAAAAACCAAAGGACAGCATATGCTCCATCTGCTAAATAAGCCACCAGAAGTAGCATAGGGATTCCTAATAAAACATCAGTACAACTAATGAGCTCCTTGGTTGTGATGAGGATGGCCTGGGACAGGAAAACCTTTGCAGCTGCTGCAGTTGATTGCAGCTCCACGGCCACTGAAGCTGTGCAGGATCGTGGTACCTGCCTCGTGTCGAATTCACCTGCTCTTCCTCTGCTGAGCTTTCACAGCAGGAAGATGCAATTTGGAGAAGTGATAGTGATGGAGGGGAGGCCTGTGGTGTGTTGAGATCTGCAGGCTTTGAGAGGATCACGTGGGCAGTGTTCAGTGTGCTGGCTTCCCAGGTTCTACTGCAGACAGGGCTTTATAGTCCTGCTTTTTAAGGGTGCATGGGGAGAGATTTTTATCAGGTACGGGCCTCTTGTAGCTGCTGACTTAATACAATATTTAATTTAATAGAGACATTCCTTCTAGTAAAGTTTATTGGTTTGGTCCCCTTTGAAATTCAAGCCTTTGTGGCACCGTCTTTCCCTCTAAAGTACAGGAGCTATGCACCCCTAATTAAGGTTCATCTTCCTAGGCAAAGCATCCAGTGCATTGCTGCTTTCTCCATGTCAAACTCCAGTGAGGGTTCCTGATGACCAGGAGCTGTGTCTGCCAGATAAGTTATATTTGTCTGCAAGTTGACATTTATTGAGGTATTTCTCCATGGTCAGGTGCAATGTAGCCCTGCCTGGAAGCCCTTTTTAAGTAAAATGTATGTATCTGTACCAGCTGTCTCAAGAAAGATTACAGATGGATCTGTTCTTGTGGCCTGTTTCTCTGTAAAGGTTGCATCTCAATCATTGCAACCTGTTCTCTAAACTCATTCATATTTATATTATAAATGTTTCGACTCTTTTGATGACCTGTGGAAATAGGCAGCATCAGAGACTTAATGAAGCAGAATTTAATAGGCAGGAAATCCACACTCGTTCCCTCTTCTGAGAAGTGAGGATTTTGAGCAGGAGCTAAAAAACTCCCATTGAAAAATAGTCTTAGAGAGAGGTTTTATTATGGTTTTGTAATTGGCTGCCTCTAGCACATGAGCAAGCACTAGTCATCCTAGCTGGGTAGAGTTAACAACTCCATCTGTATCTCGCTAATTGCCCTGTAATTGTGCAGAGATCAGAGTGCGTGTTTCAATCGGCTCCAATCACCCTCCTCGGAAAGATGCCTGACTAATTTGGAGGTGACCTTGTCAGAAATGTTCTGCATTGGGGTTATTTTTCATGTTTTTGGACTAATAGTTTATGATCATAGACTCATACAGAGAGAGTTTGGGGATGTGCTGGGCATTGCACAGCCAAGTTGCTATCCCCCTTTATCTTGGCTTTTTGTTGTCAGGATCTGCCCTTTGCTCAAATCCAGTAATTCAGTGATCTTGTGGACAGGTTTGCGTCCTTCCAGGTGACCTTGCTGTAGTTGTGGTTGAAAGACAGACACCTCAGTCTGGTTGTTCACTAACTTTTGCTGACAAACCTCTACGGTAGCTTTGCAGTTTGCCCTGGATGAATTAATTGGAACCTCTAATTGCATGTATGTATTGACAGGGGCACATATGGCAAGTGACCAGATGGGTTGGTGGCTTAATGCATTTCAGTTGAGTTATCTGTGCTGTCTCACCCCGTGCAGGCAATGGGCCAATGACACATCCAGGGGCATGGCTCGGTTACTGGGTGGTTGTGCTGCAGAAGTTTGATTGTGGATGGAGTCTTTGATCTCATTTTACAGACAGGCCTGAGGTGCTTGTGGCTGCCTTTTGTCACTTGGGATCCTGCCAAAGAGTTTTCCTCCATAAAGGAACCCTAATTTCTTTCCAGAGCTGTCTTAGGGCAAATCCTTCTCCTTTTTTTGCTGTGCATTTCCTTCCAGAAAGAACAATCTGTATTTTTCTTTTTCCTGACACTCTTGTTCTGACGCCGGTGACTCAGACCTAAGTGACTGCTCATCGGTGGAGCCCTGGAGGTGCAGAGCAGGACCGCGAGATGGCAGCAGCTTAAAGCAGAACCAAGGCTGGTGATAGCTGCACATTACTTATTTTGTAACCAGTTGCCTGCTGCCTCTTATCACTGCACTTGGATTCCTTCTGGAATGTAAATATTAGCAGAAAAGCATAAGAGAAAATCTATCTTAAGCCTTGCTGGTCTTTTAATATTTGAATGGAGCAACCTTTCTCTCCGGATATTTTCTGTCCTTGACCTTCTAGTGGAACTTTTAACCCATGGGATAGTTTTCTTGTCAGTCTACCCGTTATCCACATGACTTAAGTGAGGTTGATGTCACCTTCTACCAGTTCTTTTCTAGGTGCTGTTGGGTGTTTTAGTTCCTTCTTGTAGCATTTCTTCTTCCTCGTGTTCTGCTTTGTCACTGTGATGCGCTGGATCGGGGCTGTCATGGGTCTGGCTGTTCCGCTCCTGCGTTTTCGTGGGCTGTGCAGGCATAGCACATATGTGCTGTCCTAAATCATACCATGTTTTACACCACCTACACATCACAGCTCGTTGGGAGAAACACTATTGTGAATTGATACGGAGTAAACTGAGATCGCCCGAGAAGCTGATCAGTAAATACATACGAACCTGCACTTAAGGAGAGAGCCTCTTGAGATGTGCCCACTAGAGGTGGTGCAGTCCATCTTGATCTAATCAGAATTCCCTCTGGTGGTATTGAGCTCCACAGATGACTGAAAACCTGTTGATAGAAATCACAGCGCTCTCATCTCTCCTGCTGCGCCTGCAAGCTGTGTGGGTTCCTACTCTGCCAGCCAGAACCTCAGAGTGCGTGTTTGGGCTTCCTGGCTGGAAGGAAGAGCTTCCTTTTGTGATGCTCCTGTGTGTGCTTTGGGGTTTTTTTATCTGTTTCTGCTGCAGGTGGAGATAGTGCTTCCTTCTGAGAGATGCTTGATGGCATTGTAGGCATCAGTACGTGGAATTTTTTCCCGTTGTTGGATGTTATAGTGAAGGAGACCTTTGCTGCACAGAGTCTGTCCTTCCAGACCCCTCATTTTTAAAGCTTAATTGCCAAATTCATCCATCAGAGACCTGCCTCTTTCCAATTACTGCTACCAGTGTGTCTCTAATTTCTAAAGCCTTAATCTTGCCAAATAGATCGTTCCAGGATCTCTAATATCAGTCAGAGTGCTGTTGAGTTTTGTTGACGTGTGTCTAGATGTTACATTTAAAATCAAAGCAGACACCTCTAGCTGTTGACAAGCACCATTTGTCAAAAAATGCTGTGGTCATAATGCTTTGTAACTGCACCCCCCCATTTTAGGGCTGCATATGGTTTTTGTTGGTGCTTAGCTGGTGCCTTTCTCCCAGATAGCTGCTTGAATCAGATACAGCCCCGTTTGCCACTGGATGGTGCCAGTGAGAAGCTCTA